ATTTCAAATTGGTCAAAGTTTGTGCCTGCAATATGCATTCACTATGATCTACAATTGAAAGGGCATATAATTGTATGTATAATGGTAAGCCAGACACATACATCATAGAAACAATACTATTTGAAAATTGCTTTCTAATGGTATTATATCCATTAACTATGTGAAGTCAAAGGATAAAAGGTTTGACTAGAGAGTAAGTGGAAAGTTTATCGAGGGGAATAGGCTTAAAGCCTATTACTTAACCAAGAGTCACCATAATGGTAACCCAACTTAGCTGACTGAAGATCCCAAGATCCAAGCTCAAAAGGATAACCGAGTTATGTGTAACTTAGTAAACACTGAGGAGATTTTCTAAACTCCTTCTCATTCCTATGATGAGACAGTGTTAATGATATTCTATGACTTGAAATTGTCCAAGTGGGGCATGGCATGATACTCTTAATCAGAAATAATCTATGTAGGTAAAGAAGGGGCCGCTTCTATAAGAATCGTAAGCTGATTACTCTAAAATTACTCATGAAATCCAGCGGTGTTCAAGGCTAAAATGAACACAAATGTGAGAACCAACTGTGTCCAAAGGGATAATGTATGAATTCTATTATCTTGATTTACACAAACGGCTCCACTAGATAGACAAGTAAATCTGATAGTTTGTCACTACGGAAAGTTCAAGGTCATTGGCTACTTATCCAGATGTAGTAATCTTGAACCAGTGTCTGTATTATCATACATCGAATTTCATTCATGTAGGGGATTGTTGGAAAAAAAATAGTTTTAAACAAGTTTATTTGAGCAATTTGAGGCTTAAAAAAAAGTGAGACTTACACCTCAAAATTAGTGGAACCAAGGTAAACGCGTTCTCCTCCGTGAGGAGATTAATGTGGTATATTTATTTATCCAAAATCAATAAGATTTAAATAAGAAATTATGTCTTAAAGTTACCTATTTGAAGTGATGAAATAAACTAAGATTGGCGTAGTAAAATAAGGCTTGTCCCACATTAGAAGAAGATCAACACTTTGGTGAGTTAATATACTCTTAGTTGACTTCATGAGTTGGACCCCAAGAGGTACCACACTTTTGTAAGCAGAGTGAACGCCTACACTACCTTGGTTATCACACACACGCGTCATCCGCCACGCCACGACCCCGACCCGACTGGGCTGGGCTGAGGCCAAAAAAATTCAATCTTTTTGGACAAAATTTATTTAAAACTGTGCAAGTCATGAGTCAAATCAATCGGATCAAAACGTGAATCGGAATTAAAATCCCAACTAAAATTTAAATCCAACAAAATTTTTTAAATTTCTATCTGTTAGTTTTTGAATTTGGCTCCAAAGTGAGTATGGTTCATTCCAAAAGCTGTGTTTAGATTAAAGAGGTGTCTTTCTCTGTTCAGATTAAAGAATGTGTTTCTTCAATCTAAACAATGGCAACCCATGCCTCTTCGGGCAATATGAACAGTCATCAATGGTCTATAAATAGACTACCCCACTACCATTTCAATCCATCCCATTTTGGATTCCAGTTTCAAAATTTCTTCTTTCTCTGTGCATATTGTTGCATTATTCTTTTAGTTCGGTTCAAGTATAAACATAAGTTATGTTCGTTGAAATCTTGAAAATTGAAATGTTACTTCTTCAAGAAGGTAAAATCCGTTCTATCTTGGGAGACAGTTGTTCATCGACCTTGAGCATCGAGAAGGAGCAAATTTGTCTTAGGGAAATTGTGTTTCACAAAGTTCGGATTGAAGTTCTAGTTTTTTTTTCTTATTTATTATTTTTGTTGATCTGCGTCCCTATAAATGCACTGATTTTGATTTCTACATATTCTGTTTAGAGTAGTGCATAAATTAGACTTTATACAATTTAATATAATCTAGTTATATACATATATTCAATAACACACTTCACGTACATATCACGTATATGATCTTAAATATTCTTAGAGTTTGACTCATATAATGTACACGTAAAATTTTTCGTTAAAATTAACATAAATTTAAACAAAATTGAGACATTGAGTAGTTAAGGGTTTATATTGACACAAAATTTAATTTAAGGGGTAAATTAAAGACATAGTTTTGGGGTCATTTATAGTTTACTCCTCCCTTTTCTTTTTACTTTTTCTGTTGGTTCTTTTTAACATGTACCATCGTTTACACCTATATATCAATTTTTTAAACACCACTGCACTAACTATCATATATTGTTATCAAATTCTGTTTATCATATTAGTATGGATGATTGAACTAATAGGTCTCATTAAAAAAATTTTAATCAAACCACTAATTGAGTCTTCCACTTTAGTTTAATAATTAAATTTTTGATAGAACACAAAAGGAAAATAAAATGCAAATTGCCCAACTTATTACACTTTTTTTCCTTTTTGGTTTCTTCAATATTTGCACTCAATATATTGTTTTCCATTTAACTAGATTGCTAGTTTTTTAGCTTTAAATCAGATTAATGTTTCATTACCTTTAGGTAGCATAAGGCGTTTCATACTCATCAATTTTTCCGAAGGTAGCACATTTCATCTACATACACTTATAGCAGCACCAGTATCAATTGTTGGACTAAAAAAAGATTTTAATAATTAAAATTTGATTTTTGGTCGGCTTTGAGCCTAAATTAAAGTGGGATCCGCTCGTTATTTCTAGTAAATTTTCATGGGTTAGTATGTTTAACAATAAGTACCGTGAGAAGAATAACGTAGTATGTTTACTTGCTAAAATCGAGTAAAAATGAATGAAAAAACAGGTTCTAAAGTGACTCTCTTTAAATGAGAAAATAGAGGTTGTGCAATGTATGTGTTTGATACCAATTTCACATTGGTTGAGGAAGAAGTTCTATATGAGCATATATAGGTCAAGTTTGATCTATGAGATTGGGCCCTAAGGGGTACCACAATTTTATAAGCGGAGCGAGCACCTGCATGCCTTCAGTTCAACCATACACGCACGCATGCCTCGCCCCGACCCAGCTAAGCCTTGCCCGGGCTCGGGTGTGGGTCAGACTAAGTCCTATCTTTTTTAAGAAAATGCGTTTAACAAATTGGGCGTGAATTTCTTAACCAGAATTTAATTTCAGTACCCGTTGGCTTTAAAATTTGCACTTGTTCGGATTAGTGTTTCTTCCAATTCTAAATTTCAGTTGTTGCATCCGTTCCATGTGGTGACTGTCCGGATCAGTCATAATTTTATTTATAAATAATTCAGTCACATAATTATTGTGCATCTAACAAATTCGTAGTCATTTAAGGCATTTTCATACATCATTAACAGTCTGTATTTAGAGAGTACACAACATAATTTCTAGTTCGTTGGGCGAGTAGATTGGAGTGTTAATTCTATTTACGTAAAAATCATTATATCTTTGGATGCAGTCGCTTTGATTTTCATAAGTACCGTGTGTGAGAACGAAATGTGTCTTAAAAATATAGTGTCAAACACTAACCTTTATCTACTAAAACTTTAATAACAATTTCTATTCTGCAAACAGTCTAATTTTTATATTGTTTAAATATAAATTTATTTTGTTACAGTTTCGTTTGTATCTGTTACTGTTTTATACCTATAACTATTTCGTATATACTATTATAACTGTTTCATTCTTAACTGTTATTGTTTTGTTTTGAATTACATGTTTCAAAACAGAAATTCAATAAATAATTTTACTATATTTGGAATACCAAAAACAACATCAATTAATACACTGTACATTGCTTATAACCTGCATAATTTATTTCTCCTAATACATAAGCCTATCTTTTCTTTTTCCATTGCTTATAAATCTGTATAAATTTTGGTACTCCTAAGAACGTCGTACCTGAAAGGCAAAGAAAAAGAGAAAGAGATTCATTGGAAGAGTTTGGAACAAATGACAATAGGAGAGATGCATGGTGGCATCGGGTTTAGGGATCTAGAATGCTTCAATAATGCAATGCTAGCGAAACAGGCATGGAGGCTAACACAACAACCTTCCTCATGGGCACAAATTTTGAAAGCCTACAAGCTAATCCTTCTGGCAAGCAAAAACCAAAGCAGTTGATTCATGGATATGGAAAGGGATTATGGAAGGTAGGGATCTATTGAAACAAGGGTGTTATTGGCCAAATAGGTGATGGAAGTCAGGTTAACGTTTGGAGGTGCTAGTTGGGTTCCTGAATACGAATACATTCCCAAGACACTCGATAGCAACATTACAAGAGTACAAGAGCTGATACAGCATAACTCAAGGAGCTAGAACTCACCCTTGGTTTCATCTTCTTTCACACTTGAAATACCAACCAGTAAGACACTTTAAGGTGGACATACAACAAGAATGATCATTACTCAGTTAAGAGTGGCTACCACACCCAGATCCAAAATGCAACAAATATCCATGAAGACCACAGTGGCATCATCCTCCTATCAGGTTCCTAAAGGATTGTGGAAGCGAGTATGGAACATTCGAGCAATCCCTAATGTTAAAACGTTTGTTTTATTGAAAGTGGCGAATAGAGCGGTGGCAACAAGCCAGAGCCTCTGGAAAAGGAAATTGGTTAACGCCCCTACATGCCCAATTTGTGCAGATATAAGATTTCTACAATTGAGAATTGGCTCACAAATCAACTAAAGTTTTTGAAAAAAAGAGAGAAACGGGAGCAAAGGAGAGACAGACCACGATGGCATACCTATGTTGGTTTATATGGAAGGCAAGAACGGATTGGGTGTACCACCATCCGAAAACCATGGCCACAACAGCTTGTAATTTGAGCCATGGAGGCAAATGCTGAATTTCTCAAGCAGAAGGGCACTGAGCCATTGGTTTAGCAGAGATCCCCTTCTCTTTAGATTCGCTAAATGTACTGTTTGTTTTTCTTTTGTAATTGGTGACAACTGTTTCATAAGTCTCAAGCACTATAATACTTTTTTCCTGACCACAAAAAAAAAAATTCGAGGAACTACTTATATTTCAGCTTTTCTTCATAATTATCCTCTGGTGCCACAAAAACTAAAAATTTCAATACTTGGAAATTGAGTTCATTGGAAGCAGTTCAACACAAACTTAATCAAATACGATTCAATACAATTGCATCACATTTCCAGAAGTAAAAGAGGAACAGAACTATTTACTGGAGCTTACCTTGCTTGTTGTAGATTCGTTTGGTTTTTACAGACAACCACTACAATATTTGACACAACCTATAATCTTTGACACAAGCTATGACTAAAACAGCAAGAAATTATGTTTAATCTTAATTCTGTATCAGGAAGAGACTGTTTTTGTATGAGGAAACAACCTATAACTTTGTGGTTGCACTTGCTGTCTTGTGAGGGTAATTCATGTTCCTGATACCACAATCTTCCAACTTAGCATGGGGTGGGGTCCTCGGATCATCCAACTTAGCGTGGGGTGGAGTCCTCGGAACATCCTTTGATGTGGGTAGTTGTTCCAATGTGGTTAGAACCTCCATCATGGGAGGCCTATATTTGGGATCCGTGGAGAGGCACCGCAATGCAAGGGCACCTACAGCTTGAGCCCCCTTCTTGGAGTACTGACCCCCCAACCTCGTGTCCATGATTCTCATAACTCGCCTGTTATCACCTATGAATGGCTTTGCCCAGTCCACTAAGGTTTCTTCAGCAGACCCAGCTTTCTCGTCATCCATTGCTCGTCTTCCTGAGAGCAACTCTAGCAATACAACTCCTAAACTGTACACATCGCTCTTTGGAGTCAAGTGACCTGCATGAGGAGAAAATCACAAGTTGGACAAAATTATAGATACCGCTTATATCGATGTTCGCAAATATCAGAGCCTTACAAGCTTATCTACTCAAGCTATTTGCAACCCTAACACCTTAATGAACTCATTCTACATATTAGGTTGTGACATGAGCCGGTTTCCACATTCCTTGAAGTGTTTTCAAATGGATGTAGTCTACCAACCATCTGACATTTATACAGCCTCATATGGTGATATTTTCAAAGCCAGATTCACATGTTGTGAAGTGCTATTATAGTTGGGAATGATCACAGGTGAGCAAAGTCTTATACTTTTGCTAATATGCTGCATCAGTTTCAAATCGATTGTCAATTCCTCGGTAAATAATTTGGGCGAAAGATATGAAAAAAATTTGCTGGAAAGAATAGTCAAGGACTGGTCTTACTCCAAGCAAACTCATGAGACCAACTTAGTCATGATGGACTTTGAGCAAGTCATGAACAATATCTTTACACCAGTTTGCAGGGAGAAGAGTGGGAAAATCTGTAATTGAGGGAAATACTACACATTTTTCATCAGTATGAGTAATCGTAGGTGATGGTTAGACGTGCACAGGTTTAATAGGACTTTTAATGCACAATCATCTTCCCATTCAAAGTGAGAACTATGATTAAAATACCAGAGGCCTACTTGTGATAATTCCAGAGTCTGATGTATAGTAGGTACCGAAAGCAAAGAAACAAGTGCATGAATATACAAAGCTACAGAAGTGGATGGATCCCAGTAGAGAATTATTCTGGATTTATTATGGTCATGAGACATGACATAAAGAGGAAGAGCAGTTAAAAAAAGATACCAAGAACAGAGAAGCAAGAGGCAACAATCTTCAAATCAGAATATTGTTGGCACCAAGAGGTTTACTGTCGAGCTATTATACAAATAAAGATCTTAAATCTGGGTTATACCTAACCCCCTATGCCTTTTTAGACTTCTCTTGCATTTCTACTAGCTTTAGAAGGATGATATAACTGACAAGAAATCATGCAACATGCAAAAGCAGCCCACACCATAATGTCATATGGGCCTGTCCAACTGATTAGAAGAGCAAGTGCAATGAACCCTGTTTGGCATCTACAAAAAGACACCTGTGCCTTAATGCCGTGATTGAAATGATAGCGGCTCATGACTACAAGTGGAGTTTCCAAGGTGCCTCGGGCCAAAGACGATGTCACTATCATGACGCATTAGAAGGAATAATGGTGAAATTACAGTGACTACAGCTTTATGAATACTTTACTTGTTTCTGCTGCAAAGGACTTGCATATGTGACATCTAAAAGACGCATGCAATTGTGACAACAGGATGGCGAACCCGAATTACCTTTATGGTTTTAAACAAGTACTTACAGGGAACGCCTTTGTGCAGATTTTTTTGCTATTCTTTGGCAATAAATGATATTAATTGTGGTATATCCTTGTCAATGACATTTCAGGGAGAAAAAGGAACAGCACTGAATTAAGCAGCCAATAACCAATAATAGTCATGCCTTTTGTCAGCCAGTAGACTATGCAGCTACATGGACTAAACTTTAAGTGCTAATAAAATTGTGGTGTGTATTCCTTCAATTTTTTCAACTTGTATTATTGATTCTACTGCAATCTAAAGTTGACGTATGTAAACCCTATGGGTCAAAAGCCGCTCCTCACCCCACTTCCCCAGAGAAAAAAAAAATGAATAAGGTGCGTTATTGTGTTTTGAAGTGAAACATATTAATGATCTTGAAAATTAAACTGGAGGCAGCTAAAGAAGATATAGTAGCAAAACAGAAACCTGTCGCCATATATTCAGGTGCAGCATAACCCTGAGTACCCACGACTCTGGTGGAAACATGAGTGTTATCTCCTGTAGGACCATCTCTTGCTAAGCCAAAATCTGAAAGCTTTGCATTGAACTCCTAAAAAAGCATATCACAGATAGCTCCATGAGATGTGAAAACTGATCATGTGAATTTAAGGCCTGCATTATGCTCAATTCTTTAAACTTTGCCTAAGTCACATACTGAATCAAGTAGAATGTTGGAAGCCTTTAGATCACGGTAGATTATGTTGGCATCTAAATTATGTAAGAAGGATAACCCCCGAGCAACATCAATTGCAATTCGCATTCTTGTAGCCCAAGTTATAGGCTGAACACCTTCTGCAGAAAGAAATGATGGTATAGAGTAATACTGTCAGTTTTCATAATTTCTGGAATGTCAGCATTCATGGACATTACACATGGCTTGAATGAACCAAACAATATACAGCAGAATTTTCTTTGCAAAGTGATCGCACTAACATGGAAAACAAGGTGTGAGGGAACAAGAAAAAAAACTTCAATTTCACCCCAAGTCTTCCAGCTTAGCAGCATTATAACTTGCTGCTTATAAACAAGAAACTCAATTCTAGTTATGTGTCCTGAAGAGTAATTGGCCCTGGTTGGTAGAGGACTTGCCATCCAAGATAAGTTATCAAAAGGACAAATTACACATGATTTATATATTTAATATAAAAATGTAAGAATAAAAAAACTAGAATTCATATAAGCAAAGAAGAATTTACTAAAGATTTGTCAGCATAAAGAAAATAAACATACTCCAAAGTAGACAGTACTTTCAGCTATATCATGTGGTTAGTCTTGTCTTAAAGGAAACTCTCAGGATAGCTGGAACTGGAAAAATTCCCACATTGGCAGTTTGCTATGGGTTCTGCAGAACTTTGATGGAATATTAGGTATATATGCCATGCCAACAACATTTTCACAGCCAAGTTGGTGCAACAAACACTGGGTAATGACTATCCCGTGCACAATGGACAAATTTGAAATCGAGTAGCACAAACTCACAAAGGATATACCACATGAACTTACCCAAGTCCTTGGCTTATTGATACTACTTAATAACAGTACCCTACCTTTTGAGAACAGAGATTTAACAGTTAACTGGATAAAAGGAACACTGCTACTTTTAGCGATACAAACAAGATTTAATTTATACCAAAATGGGCAAAAATGATACAAGGCAATGATATAGAGAAAAAACAATTACTTACTTCTAAATAGATGGTTTTCCAAACTTCCCTTCGGCATGAATTCATACACTAAAAGTCTGTTCTCACACTCCAAACAATACCCAATGAGTCTCACCAGATTTTCATGACGAAGCTGACTCAAGTAATTAACTTCTGTCTGCCAATTAGAAAAGATCAAAACAAAGATAAGTTTTTATGATGCTAGGCAAGGCTCTGTAAGAAACTGTTTAAGAAAGCTTAATAAGGTGGTCATTTTAACATACAAGCCATTCCCTGTGACCTTGAAAGCTTTCTGCCTTAAGTTTTTTGATGGCTACTACCATTCCAGTTCCTGGTTTGCACGGAGCATAAGTGTTCTCATCGATCCATCCTTTAAAGACACACCCAAACCCTCCCTCACCAAGAAGACTCTCTAAGCGGAAGTTCTTAGTGGCATTCTTGAGATCATTAAAGCTAAAGGACCTGAGGTTGTTGGAGACAAATGTACCACCTTCTGGTGCCACAAGAGCTTTGTTCGAACCGCCTGAAGTTGTTTGCTGGTTGGAAGAGGTTGAGTCAGGTTTTCCCTTGCTAGAAGCACCTGTAGCTTCTATATAAAAACAAAAAAATAAATAAAATGTAAGATTTTTTGTGCAATAAAGCCTGAACCTAAGTTGCATTGTCCACGACTAGTGAAGTGTGAGCTATGTATTGCGCATAAGTAATTGAATCTTCGATACAAACTACAACAACACATATCCCTTAAGACAGATACAAAGTTTAAACAAAATCATATCCAAACCTGTAGTCACCAGACCACCATAAAATACAGGTTGACACTTGTCGCAGAATCTTTATCTTTTCTCACTTCGTTTGGCTTGGGCATTACTCGTAGCCAATATATCATGTTACATGTGTAAAATTCACTACATAGTACACTTGTTGTATCATTATTTTTTACAATTTTTGTGTTTCCTAATTACCATCTCCATCGACATATTAAATGGAAACTGAAAAAAGTTCACCAACAGTATACAGATTCCATGGACCATTTCTATTCAGGTTTAGGGTGAGGCAAGCACTTCAGAACTTACAAAAAGTAGTCTTTAAAAGAGTGTCCTTTAAAATACTAAATCAATTAAAAGGGGTTTATAATCAAGACCATGTAACTTACACACTGCAATGAGAAGAAAGGATTAGAATTGGCTGTCAATCACATAATTGGTCAGAGTTCAAGACTCTCAAGCAGCCAGCCTTACGCTTGAAATCCAGTATAGGTTTACATGCTTTATTTCGGGCAATCAACGAAAATTACTCATTCCCCAGAACTTCATATAACCAACACATGAACTGATTTGTAAAGACACATGTTTAAGTGAGTTCCAGAACCCCAGAAAAGGATAAGAAAGCACAAGGATAATGATTTTCCCACGCATTCAGAATGAATTCAAAGTAAAATTCGTATACATAACAAAGTTTTGTAAATTTTCCTGGAAATACAGGGTGGTAGTGGTAGAGCTTATCCTTTCTTACATCCTGCTATAAGCTGATATGAATAGAGTTGAATACCCTCCTAATAAATTGTATGTAGGTGTCTCTGAATTATTGTGAAATTCCAGAACTTCACACAAATTTATCAAATCATATTATGAGAAAAAATACAGGGTAGGCTCTTCCATGATCATGAATGAAATTAAGGTGATCAAATAAATGCTCAATATAGAGTTCAAATTAACTAATGAAGAAGACTCCATAAGATTTCAAATTTCAACAAGAATTAAGAAAGAAATAGTCAAAGTACAACTGAAGATTCAAATGGGTGTAATCAAAGAAGAAATTCAAACAAGGAGAGACATACCAGAGAATTGGCTAGAAGTAGCATGAGCACACTTAGCAGGTTTTGCCCAGCAAATACCCATATTTGAATAGTTTTTTTTCTCTGAGACAACCAAGAAGAAATAAGTCTCTGCGTGGAGATTGGAAACCCAGACAAGGGCAAGGAGGAAGAAGAAGAAGAAGAAGACGCAGAGAGCAAACCCATTGACAGATATGAGTCTTTTGGAAATGGGAACTATCGGCCTAGGCCTTGGTCAAAGGTCTGAGAAATCAACGTTGAAAAACTAAGTACACGGCCGTTTAGTCATTTTGTGGTCCCGGTGTAATAACTTCATCAGAAAGGAGGTTTCTTAGAAGGGATTGGGAAGAGTCAACCTAGCCCCTGGTCAAAACTCTTTTCTTTTCTTTTTTTTCTATTTTTTGTCTTTTTTGTGAGGCACTATTGCAAGGATGAAATTACTTTGAAGTTTTAGTTTTGGAGTTCTCGTTGGAGTTTTGTTCTTGGCCGCTATGCTAATCTAGCTAGGTATAATTTCGATAAGTATTTCAGGTGCAATCAGGGGCCTCATGATATCACTGGTGAGGGTCTATCGGGGTAGTCGCTAGACACTCTTCTTTGCCTCCACCCTTTTTATTTACTTATCAAAAAAAAAATTCAAAGGTTTTTTCTATTGCCAGAGAATTATAAGGTTCCAAAAACAAATTTTACATTGGGTGAGACCCAAAAAAAAAATTTATACCTAAAAAAGAGTAAAAAATTTATATTATATTCTCAATGAGATAAAGAGGTAGCAATATAGTCTAAAAATAAATGTTTATTACCTTTTTTGATAATTTTTTTTATTGCATTTGTCATATTATAGTATTTTTATACACAATTATTTGAATAATACTCACTTTTAAGTGTTTTAATGAAAAGTTTATACTTAATTTTCTTAAACTAAAGTACATTATTACCTTTTTATTTGACTGATGGTACAATATAAAAAAAATCTTTTATTGTGTAAATTAAGAACGTGAGGAACTTGATCTTAAAAGTCAAATGTTTTTAGAATTGATCCTAAACTAGTATGGGTTTTTTGATTGTAGGTATAATTTTTTAGACCTATTTGAGGAAAAGTGTATGGATAAATTATTTATTCTATTAAGTTCAATTTTAATAAAACATATTGTGTTTTAAGTACAAAATTTAAATTAAATCAAAAAAATTTTTCCTAAATACCCTCATTTTATGTATTCTTGATTGACAGTTATATATCTAATTAAATATTTAAAGATTTCATTAGACTCTCTCATTATCTTTCCATCTCTCTATCCCTGTTACTTTCCTCACAGTTCTCCTATTTTCTCTCTCTATCTATTATTGATAATTTATTTTCTTTTAAAGATTTATTTTTTTATCTCTTTCTCCTATTTTTTCTCTCTCTCTCTCTTCCCCCTATATTTTCTCACCGTTTCTCTCTCTCCCCCTATTTTTTTTTCTCTCTTTATTTATATCAACATTACAACAACACAATTACACAAATCAGTTACAATTGTCCTATAATACACTAAACATTTACTCATGCGTTTTAATAAACCAAAAAATTATACTAAATAATTACACAAAATTAAGACACCAACACAATTTGTCATTCAATTATTTATATAAACTAAATAGTTGCACCATTTAGTATCGTAACATTGTTACACCAATTATATATACCAAATTTAATATAATCGTAAAGTGTTTTGTGTAATGATAAGCATAATTTGGTTTATATAATTTGTGTAACTATGTCGTGATTCTAAATGATGTAATTTTTTATTTATGTAAATAAACATAATTTGGTTTATATAATTTGTGTAACTATGTCGTGATACTAAATAATGTAATTCTTTGATTTATGTAAATAAACATAATTTGGTTTATAGAATTTGTGTAACTATATCGTGATACTAAATAATGTAATTCTTTGATTTTATGTAAATAACTGAATGATAAATTAAATTGGTGTTGTAATTTCATATAATTATTTAGTGTAATTATTTGATTTAATAGAATACATGAGTAACTGTTTAGTGTATTATAGGATTATTGTAACTGATTAGTATAATTATGTTGTTGTAACGTTGATATAAGGAAAAAGAGAAGGGGAGAGAAATAAGGAAATAAGGGAAGAGGGAGTAAGGGAGAAAGATGAAAAAATTAAATCAAATTTTTATATACTTAGAAAAAATAAATTATTAAAGTGAGAGAAAGAGAGAGAAATAGATAGATAGAAAATAGGGAAGAAAGAGTAAGAGAAGAGAGAGAGTAATTAAGTAATAAATGATCTTTTAGTCTTTTTTCAAAAAAATGCACTCAGGGTCAAATAAATTTTCTTAATATAGTTTAGCTCAAATAAGTTTAAATTTTTATACCGACTTCCAAATTACCCTAATATTATAATAAATATTACTTCCTTCGTTCCTATATACCTGTCATTTTACACAATTTTTTTTGTTCCATAATATCTATCGTTCAATGAAACTAAAACATAATTAATATTTTTTCTTTTAAATTTACCCTTAACTTTTCAATGTATTAGATTAGGTGGAAGTTAAGTGTCTTTTATATTCTTTTCCTTCTCAATACGTATTAAAAAATGGTATTTTAGTCTTGTACAATTATTTTTTACTCATATTAGAGTCATTATCCTTATGCAATTTTAGTCTTATACAATTATTCTTAATTCATGTGCAAAAACGTTAAACGACAGGTATTTAGGAACGGAGGGAGTATTCTTTTTATTGTACTTAACTTTGTACCATAAATGTGGTATTAATTGTGTCTCTCTCGGCACCAAAGTCAAATTAGGCTCTAATGGTCCCTCATTATAATATAATAATTGAATGTGACAATCTTCATTTATTATACCTGACCTACCCCAATTTATCCATAAATTAAGGATTGAATATATTACTCGCTCCGTTTCTAAATATTTGTCGTTTTACATAATTTTTTTTATTCCATAATATTTGTCGTTTTATGAAATCAAAACATAATTAATATTTTTTTTTCAAATTTACTCTTAACTTTTCAATGCATTAGATTAGATGGAGGCTAAGTGCCTTTTATATTCTTTTTTTTTCTCAATAAGTATTGAATAAGAGTATTTTAGTCTTGTACAATTATTTTTTACTCATATTAGAGTTATTTAATAATTTTCTTAATTCCTGTACAAAAATCTTAAACGACAGATATTTAGGAACAGATGGAGTAATATGGATTGATAATAAATGGATTAAATAATATAATTTATGAGGATTAAAAAGATTATAAATGGGTGTTCTTCACTAGGCAATATAATCAAGGCGAGCACACAAGCCTCATGGAACAAATCTATAAGTTATAATATAAACGAAATATAAATTCAGATATTTTAATTTTGAATTTTGACAATCTTTTGAGGTCAGGTCATGAGAGATTTATCCTTCATGAATTCTCTAATCTTGACATGAATGACTTATATTTAACAAGACTAGAGAGAGAATTAGGTAAAGTGCACGTAAGTTGGTCTGAATATCCTGACCGTTGAACCAAAAAAAATGGAACAAATCTAAGTCAAGAGATTAAGGATATGTTTGGATGGTGAAATGAGTAGGGAATTAGATTACATTTGTTTTTCTCTTCAAATTCCACTCGGTTGGTTTTTTCATGGGATTCATGGGTTTCACCAATATCAGCCCATGTTCGGTAAGCAAACGTAAGGCTCACGTGAGACCAGTATAGAATTGACTCAGATACCCAATATTGAATCTAATGCATATATCTATTTTTGGAGTACTAATGTCTTTTTAGCCATATATTCAAACAACTCATCTTTAAAACCCACCCCTTGTGTGTGTATTTGGAGTAAATATTAGGTGTAACGGTGACATTACGTCATCATTGATACGTGATATTACCGTTTAATAATAAACCTACAAATGAACAAAATAAATTCAATTTGAGTGGTTATTAAATGATATGGTAGGGATGGTTACTATAATATGTGAGATTCACCTATTTTTTTATTATGCTTTTATGAAATGGTGACACCACGTTACAATGATGATGTGGTATTACCGACTCATTGTTACACCCAATATTTTTTCATGTATTTGTGAGTATCATGTGTGTTTGTGCATTTCATGTGTGTTTTTCTTATAAGAGTGTGTGTGTGTGGGTGTTCTTTTAATGTGTGTTTTTAACAAGTGGGAGTGTGTCCACGTGTGTTGTTTTAGAGTGTGTGTGCATGTGTGTGTTTCTTGTGAGTGTCGGTGTGTATTTGTGTTTTGGTATGTGATAGTTTGTGAGTGTATGTTTTAGTTTGTATTTTACAAGTGAGTGTATCTGTATTTTTTACAATGTTATGTGTTGATTTTTTTTAGCGTATGTGTGTGCTTATGAGTGTGCCTTTTTTATCTGTTTATGGGCGACTACTTCAATTTTTTTTGTTATTTTGCAAATAATGGGTTTAACTCAAATCTTTATTCAATTTTATTATAATTTATTTATATTAAGTGAGTTAAAAAAATTAAAATTATTTAACACTAACTTGGGGACTTAATTCATTGTGACCATTGAATTGATAATGGAGGATTTACCAACAATTCAGTGACCATAACAATTAAGTCTCCAAATTATGTTTCAATAATATTACTCATTTTTTTATTCTCTAAATGAATATGCAGATAAATCACTTCACATATCTGCGAGAGAATATTATCCATCAGCACCACATAGCTATCTGCAAGAGATCTTACCGCACCTATGTCGGGACCGAAGTTAAGGTCCCACCGCGTGCTTTGAACGTTGAAGAATATATTTATCCCTAGCAAACTGTTATATTTATGAAGACTCGAACCCAAACTTTGAGCGAAAAAATTTACATTCTTACCTACTAAACCATCAACTCGTTGCTAATAGCATTGCTCCTTCTAAAATGCATGACATGCATTCCACATCAACAAATTTAAATGATGGAAATCAATAATGATGCATGGCATACATTGCACACAATATATTGTGTGCTAGACGCATGCCTCTTAAGTTAAAAGAAATGTTATATATAACCACCATAAGGCTCTATTTAGATGGCGGTAATTGTAGTTAGGAATGATAATCTCATTCTTAAATTCATGAATTATTATATTTGGGTGGTTAATGAGTCGATAATTTATATCGAAAATAAAATCACTATTGAAATCAAATTCCTAATAATGGTGGG